GGTCCTCCTTTTGCCCGGCGAAGTGCAGCAACTCGACGTGGCATGGACTCAACAAGTCGTTGGAACCCTACAGGAATATTGAGCCATGCTGCCTCTATAGACGTCCATAATTGTGAAAGTGTTGACGGTGCAGGGTTTTGGGCACGAACTGACCTCTCGATGATGTCCCATTAATGTTCGATGGGATTCATGTCGGGTGATCTAGGTGGCCAGATCATTCGCTGGAATTGTCCAGAATGTTCTTCTAACCAATCGCGAGCAATTGTGGCCCGGTGACATGGCGCATTGTCATCCATAAAAATCGTTGTTTGAGTACGTGAAGTCTATGAATGGCTGTAAGTGATCTCCAAGTAGCTGAAGGTATCCATTTCCAGTCAATGATCGGTTCAGTTGCACCAGAGGACCGAGTCCATGCCATGTAAAAACAGCCCAGACCATTATGGAACCACAACCAGCTTGAACAGTGCCTTGTTGACAACTTGGGTCCATGGTTTCGTGGGGTATGCGCCACACTCGAACCCTACCATCAGCTCTTACCAACTGAAATCGTGACTCATCTGACCAAGCCACGGTTTTCCATTCGTTTAGGGACCAACCGATATGCTGAAGAGCCCACGAGAGTCACTGCAAGCGATGTCGTGCTGTCAGTAAAGGCACTCGAGTCAGTCTTCTGCTGGCATAGCCCAAGGAAGACAAATTTCGCCGCACTGTCCTATCGGACACGTCCCTCGTACGTCCCACATTGATTTCTGCCGTTATTTGACGCAGTGTTCCTTGTCTGTGAACAATGACAACTCTACGCAGACGTCGCTGGTCTCGGTCGTTAAGTGCAGGTGGTCGGCCACTGCGCTGTCCATGGTGGGATGTTATGCCTGAAATTAGATACTCTCGGCACACTCTTGACACTGGATCTCGGAATGTTGAATTCCCTAACGATATCCGAAATGGAATGACCCATGCGTCTAGCTCCAACAACCATTCCGCGTTCAAAGTCTGTTAATTCTTGTCGTGCGGCCATAATCACGTCAAAGCCTCTTCACATGAATAACTTGAATACAAATGAAAGCCCTGCCAAAGCACTTCGCATTTATACATTTTCTACGCGATACTACTGCCATCTGTATATTTGCATATTGCTATCCCATGACTTTTGTCACTTCAGTGCACGTGCTGCCGTTTTTCAACAATGCGCGGAACATACGTGCAGACAGATTCCTCATTTTTAACAGTTCAGAAGAGAGGTGATAAAAATTTAAGTTACACAGAAGTGCGTCAATTGCTTTTAAATCCTTCAGTTTCACTTCAGGTTCCTGCACCTTTTCGGATCTGCTTAAGAGTTGTAGTTGTATATTCTGTACTGTGTACTTTTAAGTTACAGTTGAATTTGAAGAATCTTAAGAACTGTTAAGTGAATAATCGCTTGAGTTCATGAGATAGATAACAACAAGGGAGGGCTGAAATAACCCTTTATTATTCCAATATGGTGTACCAGAACTCCGTCTTCGAGTTGCGCAATACAGCCGACACTCGGGCTTGAACTTAAGAGCTAAGAACTAAACTAATCTTAACTAAAAAAGATATAGCCGAAGCTATCAAACTTCTAACAGAGTTGTCCACTTAAAGCTAATTACTGCGAAGCTATCAAGAGCCTAAAGTACGGCCGAGCGTAAAAGAGAGTAGCCTAAAAAGGCGGACGCAAGCTAACCAGAATCACTGGTTCTCTCTAACTAAGACAGTAGAACTTCGCGGTTAAATACTACTCCTGAAATTTGCATTCACACGTGATTCTAAAAATACGTTCTGGCCGGAAGTCGTAAGTTGAAATTAAGAAGCAACAGGAAAGGACTTTAACTCAAAGTTTAACTGTTAGATAAATCAACATAATCCTTACAGAGTTATTAAATAAATTAAACTGAAATCGAAAAAAAATCCAAAATTTACTAGTAAGACAATATATAACGTAATCTTGAAGATATTTAAGAGATGCCCTAAGGAGGATACCATAAATAACATCGCTTGCTGCCTCCTGCTGACTATATGTCATAAGAATGTCTCTGGAGGTTGTAAGACTGATGTTGTTGTTACCAATCTCACTCGTTTAACAATGGCCAGCAGAAGCCCACGACAATCATCATAGCAAAAAGTCAAATGCATCTGTCGTTGGCAAGAACCTTGAGCACGGTGACAGCCTGGCTTCAGCTCTATTACGTCCCCAGTTTTGAAAGAAAGCACCGCGGGGGAAGAGGTCTGGAGGTCTCCCTCCCCTTTTCCTTACCACTAACTCTAGAGAGAACTTTCTGCTGGTCACATATTTACAGTGCCCCATGCCGCACAGACACTGTACACTAAAAAACATCCATGCCATCTCCAGGATTCGAACCATGGCCTTTCAATACGGCTGTCAGAGTCACTAACCACTGTCCCGGTTGGGCGGCTAAGTAGGACCTCTAATAAGTTCCTACAGTATCTTTATACACTCTAGTAGGAATTTAGCGAAGATGTGTAGTTGAAAATTTAGGGTTATATTCCAGGATCTTCTGAGGACGTTCTGCAAAGTCGATATCATCATAGCATCCGTATAATCTTTTTGTGCTACGTGGTTAAGATAATTTCTTTAAAAGCAATTATCACTGTCATTATCAAAAGAGATATTCCAGAGTCTCCTGAAGATACTCTACGAAGTGAATATCCTCATAATACCTGGGTAACCTTTTCGTGCTACGTAGGCAAAAGATCATTTCTTTAAAAGAAATTTACTCGTGTCACTATCAAAATTTATAAATCATGTACATGAATGTGGATAATTAAGCATAATTAAATAATACTTACTAAATTTACGCCAAAATAAAAATAAATAAATAAAAATAAAAAAAAAAAAGCATCAAATTATATTAGCCTTAAAAATGTTATAAAAGCGGAAAAAAGAGTTTGTTTGAGGGACGAATATCATTTATCTAAAAGAACACATTTTAGAAATATAATAAAACAGACCTAACAAGATGTCCAGACTTAGCCATAAATAATAAGGGGCGTTATTGGCCTTAACAAGGAGTTTTGTGACATCTATCGACAAACAACGTCATCAGCCTTTTGTTGTCAACAGCATTCATTACACCTAAATCTTGTCTTGCTCGGCAATTTGAGGTAACGTACCTCAGACTGGTAACAAAGGTAGAAGGTTCAAGATTTTCTGAATTGTCTGCTGATATGGCCAAGCAAGCTTACTAAAAGCGGAGCGCTTGTTCTTCAGACAGTTACGTAGTTCTTGCAAATGTTATTTCACCAAGTTTAGCCTATTTATACAAGCTTTGAAACTATTAAAGTAAATGAATTTATAATTTGAAGACTAAAATTACAATCTAACATCCGAAAAGAAAGTATACTGTTAATTTTTTTTAATTAAGTAAAAAATACTATAAAAATACTAAAAGTATATAAATATTTACCTTTTCTTTTTAAAATCCTACTAGTAAATAATGAAGAATATACATGTTTACATGTATTTTCCTTGCTATGTCGAAAATCGGCGGCACCTAGAGGCACCCAGTTTTGAATACACGCAATTCTTTACCCGATCCAGAGTTTAAATCCAGAATTTTTAATTTCGAATTTGGTTTCATATTTTTTCATACTTAATGAATTTTTTATTAACATACTTTCATATGATTGTTAATAGGGTCGACCTAAAAACTTATCTACTTGTCAAATACCAATACGTAATGTTATCGTATTATGACGTCGATCCACACGCGTCTCAAGACCAGAAGAGGAAAATGCTTATCTTCACTGTCATTGGCTGTATACCACGTGACACTCCCGAAACGTTTAGGCAAAGAATCTGTAAGAGATTCTTTGGTTTTAGGCGCTATTTCTGGTTTTTCGCCAACTGCAATTGTGTTTCTCGCCAATTGTTAGCGGTTTGTTTAAATCAAGGATATTGCTTTTTTTTTTATTATCAAAATGGATATGTTTAAATGTAAATCTTGCAGTTCATCTTTTTATGCGAAAAGATATTTGAAAGCGCATGCACAAAGAATACACGAATTTAAATAATAAAGTTGCACCATTTTCGTGTACGTATTGTACGAAGCAATTTTGTACAAAAAATTCTTTAGCTAAACATAGGATACGTATCCATAATATAAGGCGAAGTAATATTAAATGCGGCGAAGACGAATGCCGGGAACTATTTTCTACTACAGGAGATTTAAGATCTCACTTAGAGACTTGCCATAATTACAGCAATATGACCAAATGTATAAAACTGGAGTTTAAAAAAAAGCAAGGTATGCAATGAACTTTTTATTATTTTGTTTTCCTAGTTCAATTATAAATAAGCAAAATATATTGCGTAACTTCTGTATATAGCCCTTAATCTTTTTTACATTAAAATTAAATAGCTTCATTAAAGCTAGTTCAGCAATACATTTATTTGAAGAAACACCATATATATGGTATTATTAATTTAAGCTGTTTCAGCACACAAATATGCATTTATTTGAAAAAATTAACAAATTAATTACTTTGAAACATATAATTTCAGAACACTATAGTTTTAACAATTAAGATTATTTTTCTGTGTGGCTGCAATCTGCATATTTTTATTTACTAATCAGATGCCCTTATTATGAAAATTTATACATTTATTTATTTATTAGACTTTTATTCATGGCTATCGGATGAAGAAAGAAAAACAAAGACTCATTTTGTGGTAGATTCATCTGGGCAGAAACATAAAAATTACACCAGGACGCTGTTTTGCTGTAATAGAAGTGGGACATACAAAGCAAAAGGCAAAGGTGAAAGACAGCTAAAAGCACAAGGGACTTCCAAAACAGGTTTCTCTTGCACAGCTACTGTCATACTAAAAGATTTTGGCAATCGTTTTGAAGCTGTATATTTTAAAGAACATTACAAGCATGAAAAATCCCTTTGTCATCTCCCTATTCCTAAACAAGAAAAGCAAGCAAAGTATAGCAGGCAAGTTATGTGTTAGACCGTATTTTGATTGTATTAATTTCTCTTAAATAAAACTATAATTACTTATGCAGTTGGAGCCTTTCTAGCTGTCATTAATATACAGGTGGTTCAAAATTCCAAAAGTGAATGAATTTTAATATTAATGAAGTTGATAACGAAAATCATTCATGGAAAATTCAGATTGGGAGAGAAACACGCGAGTGTGAAATTTAAAATTAGGCTTAACAGCAGACTTAATTTGCATAGATTTTAAATAAAATTATCAGCTTTGAGGACAATCAGACACAGGTATCTCTTCAGGAGTACAAAACTTTTGCAAAATGGAAGGAGTGGGTAGAGCAAAGTAAAGATGAACGTAACACTGTCTGCTGTGGAAAATAATAATGAAGCATGTAAAACCAAGATATTATAATTCTAAATGTGTTATGAAGGAATTAACACATTTATAATTCTAATATCTTAATTTGTTATATTTCATTACTGTTTTATCTGAATGGTTCAATGTTTGTGTTTCTCTGTCAACTGCTTTTAATATAAATTTGGATAATTCTCTTGAAGAAGAGGGACCTTGAAAATGCTGAAGTTTGATTCAAAATCTAGATGAAACTAAGATTAATATTTTGCCTGATTTAAAATTATGGTAAATTGTTTTCTCTTGTATTTATGAACAGCATATTAAATATTTATATAAAAGTGATTAATTATCTATATTTAAGTAACCTGAGATTTGTAACAATTGTTTTTCTTATTATTAAATTAAGTATCATATTTCTTACTAATCTACTGTATAGGCATATTTGTAAATTTAAAGATACTTTTTTTTATTCCATTAGTTTTTAGTATATAAGATACATCTGTCATGATATTTACATTTTTCAGTAACTATATTATACTAATGAGCTAATAGTCAGTTTAGAGTTTTCGCCAGTAATCTATTGTCACATTTGTGAACAGGTGGTGTGGCTACACCGGACGTTGCCAGAGCGGACACGTACAATTTCGCGATCAGAGCAGACACTTCGAAACTCATCGTGGTTAGAGCTGCACATCTTTTCCCCATCTTAGAACAGATAAAGGGTGCAGATAAATAAGTAAATAAATACTTTTAAAAATTGCAAATATAATTTAAAACAGTATTTTAAGTGGCAAATCTCTTTTACCGATGTTCTCTGTTTTTGCACTCGATTATCGAATTACAATGATAAATACATTTTTGCCAATCATATTTAATTATTTATATGTATTTAAATTGTTATGATATTATAGTGCGAATGCATTTTAAACATAGCGAAATGTAATAAAAATAAAAACTTTTGTGTAAATATAAAATGTAATAAAAATAAAAATTTCAGGGATTTTGTGGAAAACTGTATTTTAGAGTCAAATATTAGAACAGGTGCAGTTACCATAAAATTAATTAGCTGCATTAATGTAAGTAAAAAATAAATTAGAAGTAAAATATACAAAACAGATACTAGTAAATAAATACTAGCTATCCTTTATTATAAAGGCATAAATATAATTTACAATTTAGTCCAACCTAGTTACAAAACTTAAAGATTTTAGACATTTTTCTAAATTGTTTGATGTTTCGAATTCTTTTAGGATGTTTTTAATTCTTTCATCCAATTTTACATATGCTTTTTTCCTTGTTATTTCAGGGTCGCCTAATTCTCTGGCTTTCAAATTAAAAGACACTTTTTTTGTGTTTCTTCTTTTAGTATTTTAACTAATAAGTGCACAATAGGCTGGTTTCTGCCAGTGATTGTGTTTAATTTAGAATTCCACCTTTCAACAGAATTATTTGTCTTATGATGCTGTCCATGTACATTCCGTATTTTAATGGGCATATTTTGATTTTCCATTCACTACTCGACAAAAGAATCAATGAATGTGGTAAGTTTGTTAGTGCTAAAAGCTTTTTCCTATACAATGCTCTAAGTATCATCTACATGTTCTATTGGCAAGTAAGCTAAGGCAGAAATCATTCTACAGACATGTCTTATATGTTCGTTCTCTTTATATTCCTTTATTACACCCATTTCTCCCCATTCATCTTATGTCACAAACATTGATTAAAATGAAAGTTACAACCGAATATAGTCGAACTGGGAAATTCTAACATACAGCTATTGATGGCTGCGGCTTCAAAATCAAATTTTATAATGTCCGGCTTCTACTTAGGGTACCAACATTTCACTTCCTGAAACATTGCAACTTACGTACGTTGCTTGTGTCTTATAAGGCAGAAATGCAAAAAGCGCTGGATAAATATTGGTCTCAGTTGCTGTACTCCTTAAGTTGATGTTCAAATTTCAAAACACTTACTATTTTATATATTGTTGAAAGAATTGATTAGGGCAATGAAATGTTCATTAAAAAAAATTTTCAGTTGCAAGCTGATATTCTAATATCATACCATTGTTTGCATGGAATTCATATTTAGTAGGTATAAAATAATATAAAATTTTCTTTTCAAGTTCATATAAATGAAAAACTTTATTTTGCATATAGTATATATAATTTTTATCTCCTAATTATCTTTTTAAATTATTGCAGGGGGTGGAAGAGAAACGAATTTTGCAAGATGCAAGATTCTCTTCGAGAGATGATATTGAAACAAAACAGTTAATAACGAGAAAAGACCTGCATAACATTAAGAGGGATTTTGGTCTGAGCATTAATTCTAAAGGATTAATTTTAACAGATGATGAGACAAGTGTTTGGTCCTGGGTTAATACGATGTCGCAAATGGAATTCAACCCCGTTCTGATGTATAAACGTCAAGGAGAAAAATATGCAAATGTAAACGAAAATGATTTCATGTTAGCAATAATGACAGAATTTCAAAAAAAAAAAAAAATGTTGATAGAATTTGGTAATGATAGAATCTGTATTGATTCTACACATGGAATTTCTGCTTATGGATTTGAACTTGTAACATTGCTTGTCGTTGATAAGTATGAAGAGGGCATACCAGTTGCTTTCTTAATATCATCAACAGTATCAGAAAAAATTTTGGTAAACTTTTTTAACTGCATCAAAAAGATCATTGATATCAAGCCAAAGGTTTTCATGAGCGATGATGCTCCCATGTTCTATAATGCATGGGAGCATACATTTGGTTCTTGCCAAAAATTATTATGTGCTTGGCATGTGGACAGAGCATGGAAAGGTCATTTGAATTCTGTGCCAAAACATAAAAGACAAGCAGTGTACAAAACTTTAAAAACTTTAATGTATGAATTAGATGAAGAAATGTTCAACAAAATGTTAGAAACATTTTCTGAGCAACTATGTGAAGATGAAGACACGCGAGAATTCCATAAATATTTTATGACATACTATTTTGAAAGAGCCAAAATGTGGGCATACTGTTTCAGAAAAGGGGCTAAAATCAACACCAATATGTATGTTGAAACATTTCATCGGAAATTAAAATATATTTATTTAGATGGGAAGAAAACCAAACGGGTTGATAAATGTATCATCGAGTTAATTAATCTTGTCAATGATCAAAAGTTTGACACTTACATAAAATATCAGAAAGGAAAAATAACAAAGAAGACAACAAAAACATTTCAACGTCATAAAGCTGCTGAGCTTTTAAATGCTAACTGTGTAAAAAAAGATGATGTATGGGAAGTTTCATCAGAACTGGGAGAAAATTCTTATAAAATTATCAGAGATCATGTTTGTAATGATTTATGCCTCATAACTTGTAGACTTTGTTCATGCTGTTTAAAAGCTTATAAATGTACATGCCATGATTATTCTATTTTAAATAATATGTGTAAACATATACATTTTGTAATCATGTCTGAAAAAAAGACAGAACCTTATATAGGCCCTCTAAACAGAATACCTACTAGGAATAATTATGAATCTTTAACAGTAAGTAAAACATGCATTAGTGAACTTATTCAATCTTCATTTTCAATTTCTGAAAAATTAAACTGCATTGAAAATATGGACATTAATCTTGCTACACAAATAAAAAAGCATTTAAATGCAATTGAACATTTATTAGAAGTTCCTTTGTTAGATAAAGCACATGCTTCAATTTCAAAAGAACCAACAAATAAAAAAATTGTTCCCCAAAAGAGATTTTATTCAGTTAAAAAACGAAAAGTGTGTAAAAAAGTACAGTTTGGAAATCCTTCAACAGCAGAAAAAAATAATACCAAACCTATTTTATTAAATCAATTAATTGTTAATTCAGATCCCAGCTATGATCATTTGTATTGCAGTGAATTGAATGCCAAAAGTTTAAAAGAAAAGTCACTAAATAATGTTTAAGAAAATTATGCTATTTAAGTATTTTTAAAATTTGTGTATTTATAACAAATTATTTGATTTTTATGTAACTAATCTGGATGTCTCATTTTAATTTAATTATGTATCTTATTATAAATTTAATAAAATTGTTATAAACTGTTCTACTGTATATCTAAGCTATGCATTTATCCTATACTTAATCTACGCATACGTTAAATCTATTTATAAAGTCATGCTTTATAATAACTATTCTACTGTAAATGTGAATTACACATTTATCATATACGTAATCATTGTCCAGTTAGGTGATAGGATTGCTTGATGTTTCTTTAAATAATGAGTCCAGATAAGCAGGATGGTATGAACAATTTATTAGGAGAATAGGCACAATACTATTACACACAGAACAAAAATGGCTGAAAACAAATCAAGGAGAATAGGGATATTTAGCAATTCACTTTTAGCTCATGAAATAAATTCTAAAGTTTCCTAAATCACTTTCTCAGGATAAACACTAACTTGTAATTCAGCTAACTGCAAAGTCTGGCACCTGATTCACAAGCTCTCTTGTTCTCAGACCCATATTTATACTCTGCAGGATGTGTTATGCAAGATAAATGCAAAGTTCGTTATGACACGAAAACCTATTTTCGAAGCCCTGTGACCAATTCATCCAGAAGTTTCTAGAGCCATGCTGCAACAGGCATCTCAAGATAGATAACGCAAAATGCTTATCTTTACTGTCATTGACTATATCACATGACAGTCCTGAAACGTTGTTGGCTCTATTTCTAGTTCTCCTCCAACTGCGTATCTCGTCAATTGTTAGCAGTTTGTTTAAATCAAAGAGCTTGCACTTCGCTTTCTTTCTTTTTGCTTTTATTACTGAGATGGATATTTAAACATATCCATATTATATAGATATTTAAACATAATGCAAATCTTGCAGTGCATCTTTCTATGTGATGAGATATTTAAAAGCACATAAACGTATGCACAAAGATACCGTCGCTAAAGTTACGCCATATTCGTCATCAATTTTAAGCAAACACAGAATATGCATTCATAATGTAAAGTGAAAAATATTAAATTCAGTGAAGTAGGATGTCTAGAACTGTTTCTCACCACAGGAGATTTAAGATCTCACTTTTAAGTTAGTTTTAAGTCACTTTAAGATTAAGATTAAAGACTCGCCATAATTATAATAACATGATAAAATGTATGAAACTTAGAGTTCCATAAAAAACAAGGTTTGTAATGATCTTTTCCTTATTTTGTTCTTTAGTTCAATTATAAATAAGAAAAATATATTACGTGACTTCTGTATATAGCCCTTAAACTTTTTATATTCAAATTAAATAGCTTAATGAATACGGTGTTATTCATTAAAGCTATTTCAGCACACACATTTATTTGAAAAAACATATATATATGGTATTATTAATTTAAGCTGTTTCAGCACACAAATATACATTTATTTGAAAAAATTAGCATACATTAATTACTATAAAACTTATAATTTCAGAACACTATAGTTTTAACAACTAAGATTATTTTTCTGTGTGGGTGCAATTTGTATATTTTTATTATAATGTCTTATAAAAATTTAACAAAAAATGCAACTTATTTTTTTTATCTACTGCCATGTATAATTTGTTGTACTACTTGTTCCTTAATATGGAAAAGTTGTTTATAAAAGTGCACAGTATGGCTCATAATTTGATTTCAATGTCTCACTTTAACTTTTTTTTTTTTTTTTTTTTTGTCTTTTGACCAGGAGAATTTATTATGAATTATTATTATTGTTTTACATATATTATTATTAGTTACTGATGAAGATCAATAATGGTTTTGGTTTGGTTTATTTAATTACGGCTATCTGCCTAAGGGAAGGGATGCCTTCGTGGAGGACTTTCTAAGGGAAACTGGCTCGTATACACGTTACACATGGGAAAAACCATGAAAACGCCCATGCAGCCAGCCCATTCACAGGATTCGAACCTCGGACCGAACTACCAGTGTTCAGTGTCTTAACCGCTCGGCCTCTGGTGGGCTATATGAAATAACGAAAATTTGCTATCTTTGCTTTATTTCCAGCATAAATGCAAGTGTTTATTTTAGGAAAATAAAGCTGAATAAAATTTGTATATTTTTGCTAATTTTTTGAAAGATAATTTTAACTATTTCATTTGTATTATGGAGAATAACGAGAATGAAACAAGTAAAAACCTTTCATCAGATAACAAATAAGCGAAGATGCCAAATTTGAATATTAAGCGATAAAAAATTTTGAGAGCACACTACTCATACTTATCTCAGATGTTAAAAATCTGTTGGTTTATATAAAAAGTTGACTAATTCTTAATACAGAATACTATAACAATGCAAGCACTGACATAGTTTTCATAACCCTACATTTAAAAAACATTATAATTTAAAGATATAGCTTTTCCTGAAAATACACCATAAAGTACCACATTTAACCAATTTGTTACAAGCTTGATACCATGTGAGCAAACTTCAAACTGCATATCAGTTAGATTAAAAATGAAGAACAAGAACTGAATATGAATAAGGTACTAAATTTTTAAAAGTCTATAATATAAACAGGCTAAATGAAATAATGCATAAGTGTATATTTAAGTATTTATGGTATTAATTTTAGAAAAACACCTATTGACTCGGGAAAGTTTCGTGAAATTTAAACCAAGTACTGAAGTTGCATTCATGCCAAAATGAAACCACACTTTTTATATGCTCATATTTTATTGTGGAATGTAAATACAAGTAATCAGGAATACAATGAATTCACAATATTAAAAAATCACAGGTGGACATGAAGAATAATCTTACGAACACTCTATAAAACTGCTTTTAATTTTTATACAACATATGAAATTACCTTGAATTATAGAAGAAAGGTAGTTGAACAAATATGAAAATGAGATTTCATAACCAGGATAACTTCATTCATGCAAAATTAAGAAAGCAGCTGCTAGAAATATTGATACTCTTCTGTTATGAGGATTGATTGTATGTATGTATATATATGTGCATGTCTATTTGTGTGTGTATGCATACATATATATATGCACATGCAAAATATATATACCAATTGTGGCCAATGTGCGGCTCGCGAGCCTTATACGGCTCTTGCAGGCAATTTGTGCGGCTCATGCATATAAAATATATGTATGAAATATGGTAAACTAAAACTATTCAGTGTCCAAAAGGAAGTAATTAATTAGTTTAGACTCTTTTTACAAAGTTATCAGGGATTTCTTTCTATTTAAAACCTCCTCCACTACTTCTATAATGATGTAAATATGAACTTGTGGCTTTTAGAAAATTTAAATGCAGCTCTCGAACATTCCTGAATTCAAACGTGCTTACTGAAATGAAGTTTGGCCAACTCTGATATGTACATTTCTGAATCTGGTTCCGATAACAGAACAGGGCCAAAATATCTTGTGAAAGAATATATATTGAAATGCCTCACATTATTTATTAAGTGAAATGGATTTGAAAAAAAAAAAAAAAAAAAGGTACAAAAGTTGTATCTTCAAAATAAACAATATGTTAATATGTAATTCCTTAACATCAGAAAACATACTGACAAATTATCAATAACATAAATGATATTCTAATGGAAATTATAAGTAGATACACTTATAACTATTAAACCAGTCTGCAGTTATAAAATATAGCAATTTTAATTTTGACATCAGTTGCAAAAGTATTGCATAGCAGAAATATACTTTAATTCACAATGGCATTACCATAATATTCCTGTCATTGCAACTTACTTATTATAATACAAACCCAGTTATTTCAAATCAATTTCTATATAATTCCTGTGTAATATAGTACTTCAAATATACTGTTTGGTATGCCTGTTCACACTTGAATTCTTAATTTTGTTTTATAATTCTTTAATTATGACCCGAGAAATGCATGCAAATAATTCCATATGTTATAAAATGCGTTATATATTCCATTTTAATGTGATCATATCTTTACTTTGAACATCAAAATATGATTTTAGTCTTTGAAATATATTCATCTCATAAAGTGGTAAACAGCACATCGCAAACTAATGAACTACAATATAATATAAACAGTGTTAAATAAACAAAATGTTGTATTAACATTTAGGCCTGACTCTGGCTCACTTTGAAAAAACTGACACCACTTCTGAACCTTAATGTAAATTTTTAAGCAAACTGTTGCTCCTTTTAATATTCCCCATCTTACTAATGAATTATTTTGGTAATTCATCACAAACGATGCAACTAGCAATTATGATATGGCGTTTTTATTTTGGCGATTCTAAATATTAAATTTTCGCCAAAAGTGGTAAACTTACACAGTTAAGTTCTAGTGTTAATGCTGACGTCCAAAGGAAAGAAAACCACGTGACCTGTAATAACCAATCAGCATTAGGTTACGCATTTTCCTCTTCTGGTCTTGAGACGCCTGTCGTCGATCCTGTGCCATCATGGACCTTATAAAGAAATAGACTAACCCAGTGGGCGGGGCGCGCGTCACCGACATGTCGGCAAGAAAGAGTAGGGACGATCTGGTCTACTTTAACATTGAAACCTATGGCGTTTGTATCACATAACTCTTTTTAATTATTAAATGTGATACGTTGTATAGTGATGAGATTATGAAAGCCACAGTTTTTTCCAAATAGGATTTAATATATCTCATTAAAGCACTTTTTACTGCATTTCGCGCATTTTTTTTTCACGCGTAATTCTTGTACAAACATCTTTACTTTGGTAAAACGGTAAAAGCTCTAGGCACAAAATTTATGAACTTAATTTTGCGTAAAAATAAAGTAAAATTAAATAAGATTGATAGTACGTGATGCTTTGAAATAAATAAGGTAAAATTAAACAAGATCTGATAATTTTTTTAAAAAAATTTAATGAAAATTTTCAGGCAGTGATTTTCCAAACTATAATACCATTACAAAACGATCATATTTATTTGATTATATGATCATTAAATTATTAACGTTAAAGTGGATTAGTTATTTTAATAATTCATAAAATTCGGAGCATAAAATTTTCTAAGCGTAATGAAGAGGGATAAAAAAGATTA